GCCAGCCTGACCCAGATGACCTGTATGTATGGCCCCGTTCTGCCACCACTTCTAAGAAGTATCCTCAGTTTCCCCATCTGTGAGATGGGCAGCAAGAATGAGCCTCTCCGACAGTGCTTTCAGCTGTGAGATCCTGCAATTTCTGTCATTCCCTGCCTCAGCCCTGATGGCAGCTCAGGGCCTCCTCTCTCAGACACATTTCCCCAGCCTCCTACACCCTCCCTGCTCTTGTGGCCCCCCACTGCCTCTGGCTCCCCAGGCTCCCTGATAAGGGGCCCAACTAATTACATTAGGATTTCATGCCAATTAACAAACAATTACATGGGCAAATTGGTGCCTAATTTGGAGCAATAACAACAGCTCTGCTGGCCGAGGACAGATAGCTACAGACAAGACTGTTCACCCCGCCTGGCCCTGTCCGGCCCCTGGAGGATGAGAGCCAGCTCTTGGCCCTGTCCTGGGCTCACAACTGCAGTTATCTTAGGATCTTTAAGCAACTGTTTATGTTGATTACATGGTAGTAGAAAAAGGCAGAGAGAAAGTGGGAGCAGAGGGAGCTAGGGCATTCCAGGCTGGCTTCATGGTGGAGGCAGGGAGGACTCAGGGAGGCAGGGAGAGAAGAGAAGAGGGCACATGAGGGCCAGTAATGAATGTAAACAAAGGCTTGACCATTGGCATGAGTCACATAGCTGAAAACTGGTGGAGAAACAAGCAGGGCCAGGGCACTGGCTGGTGGGCAGTGCTGAGACTAGAGGTTTGGAGGACAGACCGGGGCAGTCATTCCAGGGAATTTAACACTCTCCTGGAGGCCTTGGGAGCCACTGAAAGGTCTTGGAGGGAGAAGTCAGTGCTCAGCGTCGCCTTAGATTCCCGGTCTTGGATCACTTACAACCACCGTCCTACCTTTAGGTTGCCATGAGGTCGCATCTGCTCTCCCCTCTTAATGTAGCAGCTGCCAGTCCAGTCCTCAAACCATTTCTTGCCTGTATTTTTTTCCCCCAAGTGATCACCCTAAGGCACAAATCCATCCGCATTCCTGCTTCTCTTAAATCCTCTATGGCTCCCCAGTGCCGTCGTAATAAATCTCCAGGCCCCACTTGAGCATCCCTGCCCGGCATCGTCTGGCACCCGGGGACCTCCTAGCTTTCCCTCTCTCCCCGCCCGCACACCTGCGCTGTGCTCTCAGGACCGGACACCATTTACAGAACGCACTAGGTTCCTTCACACCTCCATGCCTGACAGTGCCGTCCCCTTGGCCCGGATTCCTCTCCCAGCACCTTGTGTGTTACCATGTGCATCCTCCCCGGCCCCGGCCTGTGGAATCCTTTCTCTAGGGCACAGGTCCCTGAAGCGGCGCTTGGGTGTCAGGCACCACCTGTCCCCCTCCCCACCCCAGACTCAGAGACGCTCAGGGCCTGGGTCACTGCACATTACCTCGTCCAGCACTGAACTGAAAGAACAGAGAAGACAAAGAAACGGGATCCAAGCATTTCCCTGCGCACAGTGGGGAAACCGAGGCAGGGATCCAGAGGAAGATTCTCTCTGAAGGGAGAGCTGGGTGAGCTTCCAGCCTCTGCCTGCTGGAGCCCAGCCCGCCCGGCCCACCCCCACCCAAGTGAGTTCCTCTCTATGTTTAAGAATGAAGCACAGAAAATTACCTCAGCTAAAGAGTCCCCAAAAGTAACAGCAGCTCTCCTGAGGACAGTGGTGGAGCCAATGAACTGCAGCATGAAAGACTGTGGGCAGGCTCGAGGAGGGACCTCCTGGATCAGCACCCAGTGCTCCCTAATACAGAGACAAATGAGGAAGGGCAGGGGGCTTGGTGGGACCAAGGGAGGCCAGGGCTGGAGCCCAGGCCCGCCCAGAGACAGGGGACGACCTGGCTGACTTTCCCAGGCGCTGGAGTTCTCACTTGGGGGGCTGCTTACTCCATCTCAAGGCCCATCACTCACGTTAATTACCGAGAAAAAGCCGATTTCTCCTCTTTCCCAGACTCCAAACGACAGTATCATTAGGCTGCTAATGTGTGGAGAAATTGTGCGTGTCTGTCTTGGAATATGCCCTGATCCAGAATAGGTAAGGGCGCCCCAGGCAGGGGCTTGTCTCCAAGATGCTCCCTGTAGCAGAGGGCCAATCTCTGGAAGAGATGCTGTGCCAACCGGCAGAGGTGGTCTCCCTCTCTGTTCAGTAGGCACCAGTGACGGTAATTAAATCACACCAGCCGAATACAAAGGTAAACAATTCCCAGTATGCAAAGCTTGCCAGATAGGAACAGAGCTGCTCTCAGACTTATACAAGGACTCAGACCCCCCTCGGTTCTGCTGAACTTGAACTCTAGCTCGTCTGCTGCTATAGCCCTTCCCAGTCTTGCCTGTATCCTTTTCTCTGAGCTCCTGCCCACCTCTGAATTAAGAGGCATCTGGGCACCATCTCACCTCTGGGAGGGAGGACTGGCTATTTCTTCCCTGAGCAAGGCCAAGTCCCTGAAGGCAAGAAGAATGCAACCTCCTAGCCCCAGAATAATAGCCACTGTGCCAGCCCTTTACACGCCTCTTCATACCATTCACCATTTAGTCCTCATTCCAACCCACTTAACACACAGAAAAACTGAGACCCAGAGAGGTAAGGTCATCTATCCAAGTTCAAGTCTCAAAGGCTAAGCTAACCCAGATCTTCCCAATGCCAAAACTCAGGCTGAAGACAGTCCTCGGCCAATCCACCCAGCGCTCCAGGAACATTCTCTTTCTAGCTTCTGTCCTCAAGCGCTGAGGTGGGTGAGGCAGAGGCAGGATGTACAGATATAATTATAGCTCATTGTGATCCATGCATGGCACAAAGAGGAATACAAAAGGTTTATCCTCACCAGTAATCAGCAAAGTGCAAATTAAAACAATAACAATACTGTTTTTACCTGATGAAATACAAATTTTTGTTTTGTTTTTAGACAGTACTGCTGTTGATGAGAACTAAAATCTGGGCCACTCTGACTCTGTCGATGAAAGAGAAAATTAGAACAACTTTTCTGAAAAACCACTGGGCAGTGGTGGCAAGAGCTTTAAAAACAGACAGACCCTCTGGTCCTATTAATCTACTTTTAGGAGCTCAATCCAAGAAATAACCAAAGATGCTAAAAAGGACCCATGTACAAGGATGCTTATTGCTGTTATTTATAACTGTGAAAAATCACAACCAACATAAATGTCTAGCAATAGACGGCTGGTTAAATAAATTATGATACATCCATATATAAGAATGTTATATAAACGTTAAAAGTCATGTTCTTGAAGAATTTTTAATAACCTGGGGAAATACTATTTTATAAGTAAAGCACAAAAGGAAACAAAACTGTCCATCTAGGATGGTCTTGACTGTCTAAAGAAAACATTTAATCGATTCATGTAAAGAACGTCTGGAAAGAAATAAACGAGAGTTAATCTGAGAGGATTATGGGTGATCTGTTTGTTTGTTTGTTTGTTTGTTTCATCATACTTCTCTGTTTCTTACGAATCTACAATTTTTCAGGAAAAAAATTATTAGAAATACATGCAATCTGGGAGCTGGGCGTGGGAGAATCAAAAGTTTGAGACCAGCCGGGGCGATGTATTGAAACTCTGTCACAAAATAAAAAGTAAAAAGGGATGAGGTTGTAGCTTAGAGGTAGTGAGCCTACCTAGAATGTGTTAGGCCCTGGGTTCAATCCCCAGAACCGAACACAAAGCAAAAGAAATACACGTGTCGCACACATGTGGATGGGCAGCTCGGACATCACGAGAACAGAGGCCCTCACTCAGCCTGGGAGCAGTGCCGTCCAGAACAGCATTGTGTCAGAGGTGATGCCTGCATTAGCCCCAGAATCAGTAAGCTTTGACCCAGAGGAGGGAGGATTAGAGTCCTAGGCCAGGATAGTCATATGCAAAGGAGAAAGAGATACTGGCTCCTCCTGGAAACCCTCAGTAGCCAGAGATGCAAAAATCAGACAAGGGGAGGCCTGGACAACCTGGCTAAGAAGCCCAGTGTTGAGGGCCCTAAACTGGGAGGTGACGGAAACCAACTGTGTTTGAAAGATCTTTGTGGCCACAGAATGGAAGGGGATGGGAATTGGGGGATGGGGTGAGGCAAGACCGTGGAACCCAGAAACCGGCAGGGCTGCCAGTAGGGTGAGAGAGGGGTTGGCTAGGCCTGGGCTGAGGTGGCTGGGAGGAGGAGAGGAGGGGCCTCTGGAGCAGTGATTACGGACAGATTTGACAGGACTTGTGATTAATTGGAGAGGGGAGCAGCGAGGGGGAGGGGAGCCGAGCGTGACTACGGGCGCACACAGACGCGAGGCGCTCGGAGGTTTCCACTGCGTGCTTCCAGGAGTGCTTCCTCCCCCGCTGCCTCCAAATGAGCAGATTTGGGTTGGCCTGGCATTTGACCACAACCCTGGGAGAAGCTGAACCCATCACCACACCCGGGCAGTCCTCTGATTCACCCCTGTCCCTCTGTGCCCTCTTTCCCTCACACTGGCCAAGCTGCAACCCTGGAAAGCAAGGTGTGGGGTCAGAAAAGGCCACAGAGATGAGGGGTGTGGGCAGGGGCATGCCCAGGAGAGCCGGGGCTGAGTCCCGCCCGGACACAGATGCACACGACATAGAGAGCACAAGCACCCACACAGCCTCTGAGAACCTGGGACACAGCCCGACCGAGGGGGTCACACGCCCCACAGCCACAGTCAGCTCCAGCCTGGGTCTCACACACAGGCCATTGTGCTCTGCCAGAATCCCCAAGGTCCTCCCGCCTGCGCCACCCTCAGCCCCACCCCCGCTCCAGTAGGACAGGACAGAGGGCTGGCTGGCAGAGGGGCCAGCACAAGGGACTGGCACAAGGACCTGCAGCCAAACGGGGCAGCCCAGCCAGGAGGGAGGCCTCTGAGAAGGGGTTGCCACGGCAACAGGCTCCTGTAGAACCAACCAGAGGCTTAGATTCTCAGCTCTTATTTTTAGAAGTTGGGGCCTGGACTGGTTGCCCGAGGGCACAGATGCCAGCTGGAACCCCTAGGGGTTTGGGTGGACACTGCCCACCCTGGGCTTCTTCTGAAGGACCTCTCCTTCCCCAAGGTCATGCCCAGGGGAGGGCTGTGGATTCCCTCTGTCTTCACACAGACCATGGGCCTTCTACTAGCAGCACCCTTCCCCCTCCAGGTCCTATGGTGGGGACCCAGTCTGCTGTCCCACTGCACTGCAGCCTGTTTGCGGCTGTGGTTCAGTGTATAGAGTGTCACGGAGGGAAGGGGTGGAGGTTGAGCCCGATTTGTATGGTGCTATGTGTGAGGCTGTGCGCAATTGTCTGAATGAGTATATTTGCTATGTGTTGGAGATGCTGTCCACCTCTGCCTGGGTGTGTGCACGTGTGTGCATGTGTGAATTTCCTCTTCCACAGACGCCAAACACAGGGAAGACACCACCCTTAACTTCCTCCCCAGCCTGGACCTCTCAGAAATGGGAGCGAGGGGCAGAGATCTCAGGCTGGAAGGGTGGTGGCCTTAGTGTCCCACCTTGTCCAAACCCTTCCTATATCTGAGCAGATAGCTCCTGAGTTGGGCAGGAGGGTGGCAGCGAGACAGACGGGCCCAGGCAGACCCAGGTAGACAGCGTCAGAGTGAGAAGGATCAAGAAGCAAGCTGACTTCACAGTGACTTCTCCAGCTGCTGGGGATTTCTCTGTTAATCTAGGACTGCTCTGTTTGCATCTCATTTGCCTTCATTTGCATAACAAGGGCCTGGCTGGCATCAGAGATCGAAATTCCTGGCCTGGATAACTGTGTGAAAAAGCCTCTGGAGACTGAGCAGGAATCCTGGGGTCTCCGAAGCAGAAACTGGGAACTGTTGTGTTGCTGCTGAAGGTTCCAACCAAACCCAGGAGACCCACTTCTTCATTAACCCCTGGTGCAGGGAGGTGGGGGACAGCTGAGAATGGAGTGGGAAGAGTGAAAAGACTAGGAATCAAGTCATCTTGCAAGCCCTCCACCCCTGGCAGCCTGCATGGAGCTGTGTCCAGAGTATTTCTGTAGGTGGCAATGGCTTGAACTTGGTAAGGTCTGAGCTGGGCTGGGGGGACAGGGGGAGGAACTCAGCCACCTCTGCCTCTGCCCACCCCCTATACAGAGAGATGATCTGGCCATAGCGACTGGGATCTTATCCTGGACCTTAGAATTTACCAGCCTCAGGACTCAGATCTGGGCCACAGAAGACTGCTATGGACCCCCCACCTCAGGTGACACAACTTTGGCCCTCTTTTGTATTTGGTGAGGAATTAGAAGGTCCACAGGCCCGCTAAGTTGTGTCTGTCTGGAGATCCAGCTCATTCTAGACCATACCTCAACCCAGGACCCTAGAATTTACTGCCCAAATAGTCCTTAGCCAGCTGCCAGGGCCTACGCAGCCTTTTTCCCACCTCAGAAGCAGTCAGTTTTCCACTCCTATGGACCAAATGGGGACTGGAGTGCTGGAGAATCCACAGACAGGCATACAAGGCCCTGAGGCTGCAGGGTAGAACAGAAAGGAGAATGGGTACAGAGCTAGAAGCCTCCTTTAGTAATGTTGCCCTGGGCAATTTAAACATTTGGGGCAGCTCTGACAAGCTGTTTGACCTTGGGCAAGTTAACCTTCCTGTGTCCCCGAGTGGGGTTAATAATAGTAGCTGTGTCCTACAGTTGTTATGAGAATGTAGTGAGTTAATTCACATAAATCACTTAGAACAATGCCTGATGCAGAGTGTGTGTGTAAGTGTTAGCTATTATTATCTATCATCCTGGGGTTTGGCTTTTTTCCCTTTAGTGGCAGAAGCATTTTCTTTTTCATTTTGAGAAACTGAGGAAGAAGTAGGGTCTGGGGACAGCCCTTCCACTCCCCACCTGCTAAGCCCAGACCCCTTTGCTGCTTCCCCAGGGGTTGTACCCTGAGACCAGGATCAGGAGTCAGCCAGGCCACTGGAAGGAATGTAAGGATTTGTTCATTGTCCTTATTGGTTGAATAAATGAATAACAAAGATTAAAAGGAATAGAAGTGAAGCTGAATGGACTGAGTAGGACCATCTGACAGGCAAAGGTTTTGACTGCGGGACCTTCAAATGCATCTCCCTGACCATCACTTCTTTCTGTCTGTTCTCAGGTGGGGAGTGAGGCTGGCCAAGTTCTCTGCAAGTTTGTCCTGAATGGGGGAGTGGCTTGTCCCTGTGGGATTAAAGGGAGAGTGTCCACTTGTGTCCACACACATCTGTGTGTGGGGCAGTGTCTCTGCACGTTCCAGCATAGAACCTCCTCCCTGTTCAAGTGAGGGGCCCTAGGGCAGGCCCCATCTCGGTCAGGGGCAGGGGGTGGGGGAGAGGTTGATAAGCTTCATTACCTTCTAATTACATTCCGCCCCCTCTGGCAGAGCCAGGACTCAGTGCGCCTGTCCGCCTGTCAGCCTTTGGGTTGGCCCTGATGGAGAAGTCTCTTGGGGGTGGCCAACCTCCACCATCTGTCCAGGCTGATGCTGGGGGAGATGGGTGCCTATAGAGGATGCCATGGGTGTGTGGGCAGGTGGGAGTATAGGTGTGTGTGATTGTGTGTGTGCAAAGCCTGTGGCTCATCTGGGTGGCACTGTGTTTGTATTCATGATTGTCTATGTTTATGTGTCTGTATGACTTGTCCTGTGGTCTGGGGTCTCTGAGTATGATGCTGTGTACCCCAGACTGGAGGCTTTTGGTCTAGGGCTTTTCCATGGGAAGCTCTGAGTGGAGGGAGGGGTGTTCTGTGAATTCCTGGCTCAGCTTTCAGTCAGGAGAAATTAACCTCCAGGTGTCTTTCTGTAGAGGGTCTCGGAGTCCTTATATGGGAAACCAAGTTGGCTGAGCAACCCTGACTTTCCTTGAGCCCCATTGCCCGGAGATGAACTCTGGTTTCAGGCATCATCACAACTCCTGGGTTCTCCAGGAAAGCAGCCCCTCACCGGCCCTAGCACTGAGACAGGAAGGAGGCAAAGCCACTCTGAAGTACAGTTGCACCTTACCCAGACACAGGCACTGGCACAGTATCATGCATGAATCAGAGACCCCCATGTGTAGTCACAGACCTGCAAGATGCAAGCACACACACACACGGATTCTCATACACATACCCATATGGCTACATATTTATATAGGCACGTGAGTGCTTACACAAGGAACATACTCATACACTGATAAGACACAGTCTTGCAAGGACGCACACGCCTAAAGTCACAGGCACACAGAGAGACATGGCCGCATTTGTGTTCACACGCATTCTATCCCTTTCGAGTCTCTTCCTGTCCTCCCTCCAGCTGCCTCAGGCCAGTGTTCTGCTGTACTCTTCACCCACTACAGAGGACCCTTCCAAAGGTAAGCATCAAAGAAGGGAAATGTCCTATGCGTACCCAGATTTGATCCCTGGAGTACGAAGCAGGGTCTGTCTACATGTCTCACTTCATATATGTGACACTATGTGTCTGGCAGTCTGTGTGGCTCTAGTTCTGTGTAAAACAGGGAACGGTCTCTTTGCGACACTTGTGGGTATGGGTATTTTTCTGTGCGTGTCCGTGCATATTTCTGGAAGGATTTATGTGTGCATATACCTCTGTATGTGAATTTGTGAGTGACAGCGCGGGATTTCGGTATCTGTGCAACTGCATCTTATGGGCCACCTCCCTGTGTGCCTGTGTATGCATGTCTATGCTTGCATTTGCATATCTGTGCATGTCCCACATGCACACACCTCAGTGGCCCAGGCTGTATAGGCTGGTCTGGCTGGCTGTACCACAGGTGGAGGCCGTGGCCTGGGGTGGGGCCAAGTGAGACTGGACTGCATCCCCTGGCCATTGACAGTCGTATTTACAGAGCTCCGAGTAGGACATAATTGCTTCTATTAATCTTTCTCCGGTTGTTAATTGCTCACTTATCGGGTTGTGTATTATGCCGACTGTTGCTCTTAATTCTCCTCCATAGCTGCAGGTGTTTGCTGCCTTATTAACTGTTAATCGGCGCGGCTAGGGATAGAGACTTAATTGGCTCCCAGAGTGGGACACAGGCGGGCCAACCGGGCACTGCTAGACTCTCAGCCCATCCCTGGAACTCTCACCTGTGGAGCACAGGTGGCTGCAGGGAAGGGGCTGGCCTACTGCCAGAAGATAGCAGTCCCACATATAGCAGTTACAGTGACAACCGCAAGGTATGTCCCCTATACAGTCCTACCTTCTCCCAGGAGCTAACCTACCAATTAGAACCCAGCTCCTATAGCCCCTCTCCATGAACAACAATCTTCTATCCAGATAAAAAGCCAGTCTCATTTATTTCAATTATCTGAACCTAACTGACAACAACACCAACACATATTGGGACTGATTTTTGCCCTTTATCACTTTTTCTGCTTCAGGGCTCTTTAGATCACAGAGACACTGCGAGAAAGGAGGCAGGAAGGGGCCTCCACTAAACCAGTAAGGGTAGAAATTAGACCCCGTAAGGACTTTCCAGCCTTTGAGAAGGCTACTTGGAGCAGGTGGAATCCAAACAAGCTTCCTGGAGGAAGTTCTACTGCTCCATTTCAGCCACACTTCTGCTTGTACAGCCCCAAGAACAGGGAACTCATTCCCTCCGCTGCACTGTTACACTGCAGCAGTGAGAAAGGTTCTTTACGCTGAGTTTACCCACCCCCATATATATTGTAGAAGTCTCAAGTGTCCACAATGAGGAAACTGAGGGCCAGAGAGGGCAAGGGAGTAACCTCAGTGTTTTCCAGTCTTCTCTCAGACATGCAACAAAATTTCTGTTCTCTGTCTTTCCCGGGCCCTGTTCCATCCTAAATATCTCACTCCCAGAGGGTTCTTTCTCAGCTACCACCTCTCAGCCATGACAGGCTCCAGTGCCTTTGGGCTGGGAATGCAAGGTTTCTGGAAACTGTGCTCCGAGAAAGATACAAAGCTGGGAGGGGGGCATGCTGCACCAACCTGGCTTCCAGCCTCCAAGAAGGACAAACAGGCAAACCAAGAGTCCTCATCCTGTGCCTGGAAGGCAGTCTGCCCTGACTTCTGGAAGTTCTTCTTGGTATCTAGTTGTCCTCTCTGGAGCTGCAAAGGAAGTTGATTTGCTTTAACTGGGTTCTGAGAGGAACTGGGCTCTATGAGGGAGTGAAGGGGAAGCAATCACTGAGTGCTTACTTTGTGCCAGAAACAGCGACAAGCTGTGTGAAGGTGGCATCCCATTTAACCTTTACATAACCTAGTGAGTTAAGGATTTAACACTAACGAGAAGGAAAATGAACCACACGGAGGGACACTAACTCAAAGCCACAGAGCCAGGAAAGGGCAGAACGGGGGTTCCCTCAAGACTTGGAATTATTTAGGGAGCTGCATTTTTGTTAGGGATCCCTGTGTGAATTCATGCTAGTGGTTCAGTAAGGGAACTTGGCGATCCGGAGCAGGTGCTCACCCACCCAACCCAAATCTGGGAACACTGATAAGTAAAACACTCACGCATGCATAGTCCACATGACCATCAGGCGGGAGCAAAGCCAAAGGAACTATCGGGGATAGCTGCCCAAATAAGTTCCGGGCCCGCCTCTATGTTAATGACATGCAGATATATGTAAATTTTCACAAGCAACACTCAAACCTTTGGGAGCAATGGGGTGACATAGGAGCAGTTGCCATGGAAATTCAAAAGCGACCCCACTACCCGCACCAGCAGGCGCATAAGCACGTGCGCGAAGACCCAGGGTTCCTCGCTCAGACGCCCAGAGCATCACGGAGTGGCAGAGGGTGTGAACCGGAAGGACCCTCAGAGACTGCGTTCAGCCTGGGAAGGCTGACACAGCGGGGAAGTAGCAGCGGGGAGCGGCAACGTCACGATCCCGGCTGGCCCTCGGCGCTTTCTACTAAATCCTTCCGGTAGCTGGGTACTCTAGCTCCGGCCTAGCAACCCGAGCCCTGCCCAGGGTTGCATAGCAACATCCCTAGATCCTAGCAACCACCGGACACGCCCCCTAGCAACGTCACGCCTAAACTGTGCTGCGGGTCCTTGCGGGCAAGGGGCTTGTGAACTAAGGCCAGAATGTGAGTGGGGGGCGTGTAGCTCAGCTCCCGCTTCTGAGCAGGCCGCAGGATTTCGCGGTCCACCCGGAGCCCTCTCCTGGAGAGTGAAGTGTTAAAGGACTGAGCTAACATCCCCATTTACAGAGGGGCAAACTGAAGTTCAGAAAGGAAGGCCCTCCCCAGAGGCCACAGCTTGTTCTTCCCTGCACGCCCTGGAGAGAGCAACCCCGGGCCTTGAGAGGAGGGATGTATTGCCCTCTTCCTATCCCGACAGCGTAAGGAAAACCACTCAAGTTGCAGACTTCGATTCAAGCTGCAGGTTTGCATAGTAATTTGCATCATTTGCATACAGCGTGGTGGCTGTAGTGTTTCCTCGCCCCTCCAAGTCAGAAAAGTTCCCAAAGGAGTCCCGCTCCCTTCTGGGTTTCACCCAAACAGATCCTTCTCCCTCTCCCCACCTGCACTCCACCCTCATCACTCTGCCAGTCCTTCCTAAATTCTCTCACTCCGCCCCCTGCTCGGCCTCGGTCCTGACAGACCCGACCTCCATCCCAAGGCTGAGGGCCCCCTCTGCTGTCGGCTGCGGGTAGGGCAACGCACAGCTCGTTGGGTAGAGGAGGGACTCTCCCAAGAGCCATTGCCCTTCTCAGTTCAGCAGGGTCGACAGCGAAGTTCACACGGGTGGATTTACAGAAACGGTGAGCAGAGGGGACCCCCTCCTCCAGGCTCCGGGGTAAAGAGTGGTGTCCTGCTAGGACTGTCTTCCTTTAGCCAGGCCTGCTTCCTTGCTTCCTCTTCTTCCTTGCTCTATCTAGCCAGGGCCAGCTCACCCCAGCTCAGTCCCTGAACTTAGCTAGTCTGAAGGGCCCACCACTTTGAGACACCTTACAATGGCAGCATCTGCGAGGAGCTCGCCCGGGCCCAAGGCCAAGCAGCACCTTCCAACCCTAGCATCAGCCTCCAACACCTGAGGCCTAGACCCTTGCCTTTCTCCCGTACTTTTCTGGGAACTAACAAGAGAAAGAAGTCACCCTCAACAGAGATCTACCGCAGACATGCAATCAGACATGCATGGATACCCACACACCCACACACAGGGAATAGGGGATGTTTTGTGCTATCTTCCTATTGATGGGGGGGGTGTTGGTACTTAGAAGTTTAAAAAACACTGCACCTTTCCTCTGTTTGCTCCCTAGCAATCTCTAGGTGCCTGTCCCCTGGAACCCACTTCTCTCCCTCTCCGCTGCCTGGTCCTGCCTGCTCTCCCATCACCTATCCTTCCGCTCAGTTCAGAATATTTGGGAAATGCTCCCAGATGCTCTCATGGCAACAGCTGTGCTCTGGGGCAGTGATGGTTTGGCACCAGTGACTGGTAAGGTTGCACATCCGTACACACAAAAATTCCCAGAGACCTTAAACCATTTGTCTGGGATTCTAGTCTCTCCTAGTCAGCCAACAGATGCAAACCTAACTTTGCCAAATTCTTTATTAAACCAAAAACCAACACCAGACTACAGAACAGGAAAAAACCAGGGCAGATAGGGAAAGCTGACCCTTCCTTCCTCCCTCTACCCGTCTCTCCCTGGTTCAGCACTAGAAAGGGAATCAAAACCCCTGTTCTAATGGATAACCAGGGTCAGGCCTTTCTAGGAAAGGGATACTTTGTGCCAGCTGCAGGGCCCAAAGAGGGGTGAGGGGCTGGCCCAGGGATCTCTGGAGCTGCAGGGGACTGGCAGACCTGGTCATGAGTCCCTGGGGCTGCAGGGGGCTGAGGAAATGCTGTAGGGGTTGGGAGAAGATCCTGGCCTGAGGGCCTCAGGGAGGCTTGGAGTTGTTGATTCATGGTCACCAGGGTCCTGAGGTGCTGGAGTAGGAACCCGTGATGGCAAGAGGCCCTGTGAACCTGGTGACCATACCCAAAGTCACTGGCAGCTGGCACTGCTAAATAGGAATGCTGGGGCCAGTACCAGCCTAGTTCTGGGGGCTGTTTCCCGTGACACTGCCAGGTTTCAGCCTCTACCCATGGTTTTCCCCGGCCTCTGGGGAACTTCTGCCAAGCACAAACTTCCCCTGGAGATAGGGTGCCCTTGTCCTGGCTCTGCTGCAGGGAATCCCCTTGGGGAAGATAGTCTTTTGGAGCCCAATCTGGCTTCTTGTCCTCTGGTTGGTAGCATCTCATCTCCACTTTCTTGTTGAAGGAGACTATCTTGTGAACCTTCCTCCGAACAGTGCTGGACACAGCTGTCTTTGGAAGCCCTTCTTTGGGGAGCAGCACAGCCAGCAACAGACTTGAGTGAGTGGTTTCCAGACCTGAGGAAAGAAGGAGGGAGAGACCTGTGGACTGGTGGGAAGACAACAGAACCCCCAAAGCTGCACTGTATCTGCCACAGTGTGGAGTTTAGATCTCAAGCGGAGCTTCCCAGAAGTGAGCAGGGACCAATGGGAGGCTGGGAAAGTTGGAGGGTAAGTGTGTCTGGAAAGATTTAGTCTCAGGGAGATTAAGGTTATTCTGGCTGATGGCGGGGCAAGGATGGATTGATCCCAAGGTTCTGTGCATTCAAAGTCTTCCTCATTGTTCTAGGACACGCAGCCCAGAAAGGCCAATCAATTTGTACCACAAAGGGACAGTCAACCCCAGAGTCCCCAGCCCTCCTCCCCAGATGCCTTCCCTGGAATAATCACTACACAGAAGCCAGACTTCACCCAGCACAGCTTTGGTGAAACACCTGTCCCTCCTGTCATTAGTGACATTCTCAATTTGTAGGTCTTGTCTCTGTTCAGCTGCCCCTAGGTCAAATGTGGCTATCCCAAAGTTTCTATGCAGCAGTGTCTAACTGGACAGGCAGTGTGAAGAGCCACTTTCTGGAGCCAAGCTGCCCGGGTGTGAAGCTGGCTCTATGACTTTGGGCAAGTCATTTGCCTTTTCCCTAACTCGGTTTCCTCATCTGTGAAATAGAGAATCTAAGATCACTGTTCTGATAGGGCTATTTTGAGATTAAAAGAATTCATCTAGGTAAAGAGCTGCGGCGCACATGCTTATCACGTTTGAGGCCCAAAGTTCAACGCCTTGCCCCAAAAAAAGAGGAGGAAGAAAAAGATGACTTCATCTAGGTAAAGCATTTAGAACCATGGCTGGCACACAGTAAGCAACATTCAAGTATAAGCTGCTATTATTTTGGCAGTGCTAAGGCTCAACCCCAACCACATGCACACATACCAGGCAAGCGCTCTGAACTAAGCCGCACCCCTAGCCTGCACTCTTACTGTTCTTTGTCCCATCTGCATGTGGCAGGCATTCTCTGCAGTGTGCCTGTCTCTGCTGAGGCACAGGTGACTGTGTCAATAGGGCCCAATCTGCTCACCAAGTCAGGGGAGGCAGGTGTGCTGCGGGCACTGGGCACTTACCTGGGCCACCGAGAGAGCGCAGTCTAGTGGGCAGCGGCTGAAAGGCGGGCAGGGGAAGCAGGACCACCCCCATGTGCTGCACGGAGGCCAGTCCATGGCACTGCTTGTTGTTGAGGTAGGAGAAGAGCAAGCGGCAGTTCTGGGTGTCCCGATCGCCCTGGGGACACAGTCTGACCACGGAGACATCCTGCAGGTGCAGGAGGAGAGCAGCTGAGGTCCTCTTTGTCTGCAGACATCTAAACCTCTGAGAACCCTGTAGAAACTGTCCCCATTTCCCAGTGGAGAGAGCAGAGGGACCTGCCCAGGTCACTCAGTGAGTCTGCAGCCACACAGGGAAGTGGACCTGCATTTCCCAAACCAGCCTTGTGCACCAGGGATTGAGGGGGAGGGAGCAAGGGGGAAGGGTCGGGGACCAGGGGAACAGGGATGCCCAAGAGAGACCCGTTACCTTGGCCTCAGCTGGAGCGATGCTGGTCAGAAGGTCCCAGACAGTGCTAGGGGGGATGCGGCCTGCTGAGTGAATCACCTCGGGCAGAGCCTGGGGGCAGGTGGAATGGCCTTAGCCCCCCAGCTCCCCATCTTTTCAGGCAGACTCACTCCCAGCCACCCGGAAGGCCAAAGCCTGATGCAAGGAAGACGGCTAGGCAGTATCAGACCCCTCAGTGGCTGCCCAGAGAGCTCTCACCACCCCAGAGGCCCATGGCCTGTCCTGCCCAATCTCCTACAATTTCTCAAAAGCCCCCACTCCCTCTGCTAGCCTGCCACCCTCATCCAACACGTTAGCTGATCATTCAGTCATTCAACGATAACTTCTAAAACTCTCCCCTAAGACAGAGCAGCACCAGATGTCTCTCTTGAGCCCTTCTTGCTTTAAAGTGCTTCATCTTCTGTGTCTCCACAGAAATGGGGCTGGCATCTCATTTGTCCTGATGCCTAGCACAAAGCCAGGCCCAGAGAGGGTAGGATGAGTAACAGAATACATGGGTGAATGAGCAAGTGGGCGGCTGAGGAGCTCACTGCAAAGAATATGAGGGAGCCGCTGGAGAGCAGGGCTGGCGAACCTGGATGAGCCGACAGCTGTGTCCTGAGACCAGCTGGGCCCTGGCCCGGAACCGCTTGATGGAGAACATGTCCAGTGCCCCCTCCCAGGGAGCGGGGCTGGGCAGGGCCTTTGTGGACCCAGCAGATGTCTGGTACCTAGAGGGAGAGACAGATGGACAGAGTTAACTAGAGTGGGTCATCAGGACCACCTAGCACCCCCTTCCTTGCTGTGTCCCCACTGCGAGGACCAACTCTGGTCCAAGTATGGCCTTGGGCAGGGAAGAATTGGGATGATCTGCTCCACTGTACACATGGGGAAACTGAGGCAGGAAGACTTGCCCATGACCGTACAGGAAGAAAAGCCCCTGCTGTGTATGTCTGCTGCCCCAGATGGTGGACTCCCCCACCCACCCTTCAAGGTTGCCACCTCCCGGCTCCAGCCCCACACCTGTCCGTAGGAGGTGTCTCCCTGGCTCTGGGCATCTCGGGAGAGGACACGGGAGCCGGGCTTGGGGCTCTCTGGAAGGCATTCTCCCCCCTGTTCCTACAGGCTCTGGAGAAGCCTGGCAGCTCACTCAGAGACTCTGCAAACAACAGAGGAGCCAAAGGAAGCCACTCAGGCCTTGAAGCAGAGCCCCTCACACTCCCGAACACCTCACACCTGTACAAATATGGCAGTCAGGGTCCAGGAAGTGGTGATGGTGCTGTTTCGTGATGTCCCCCAACAGGACAGGCAGGACCTGTGGACTGCAGTCTCCGGACACCTCAGGCTGCTGCAAGGCAGAGAAGCAGAAAGGGACAAATAGGAAAGTGGTGGGGGAAGTCAGTGAGAAGGGACTTCCGTCGGTAGGAAGCGTCAGGGTGTGGCTTATTTCATTTTCCTAAGTAACATTTTCATCACAAAATATTACGAACTTGGAAAATACAAAAATTTGAAATATTTTCCAAAATCACCCCTTGTCACACCATTCAGACAACTGTCGACAGGCTGGGCACTGCTTTATAATGGGCTTTCTGTACACAGGGTGGGGAAGGGGTCCTTTTGCCAAAACAGCTGAGGTCGAATATCCAACTCCGTATCTTTATTCTGTCCATTAACTGTGGCAGAGGCCTTTGCCACATTATCTAGACCCTGGTGGCACCACTGTAGCGTACATGTCATTTCTGTCACGTCTGAGTTGTTTCTGGGTTATCACTAAAACGTGAGAACGTATTTTCCTAAATTTTACATTCTTTCCTTGAGTCAAGCTCTCAGAAGCAGATAACAGAAGCAGGGAGAATGATTGTTTTAAAGACCCTTGCTAGGCAGGCATGGTGACGCACACCTGCAATCCCAGCACCCTGGGCGGCAATGCCAAGAGGATTGAAAGTTCGAGCCCAGCCTGGGTAATCTAACAGCTTAGTGAGACCTTGTCTCAAAAAAGAAAAACAGGGCTGGAGATGAGCTCACTGCGAAGCCCCTGGGTTCAACCCCCAGTACCCCCGCCCCAAACACATACAAAGATTCAATGCCCAGTGCCAAATCATTTTTCCCTCGTAACGAAAACAGCTATAAACACACACGCACACACGTGTGTGCACACACAAATGTTGCTTTAGGAAGCTTTAAGAAGATTCTGAAACTCTAGCTTCGCCTTAGAGCAGTGCCACAGCACAGGCTGTGGAGTGAAACAGCCCAGGTTCAAATCTCAGCTCGAGCGCTGCACACTGCGTGACCCTGAGCCAATGGCTTCCAGTTCCTCCTCGCAGAAACAGCACAGCAACAGCCCTCACCATGTAGGTCACTGCATGGTTTGAATGAGGTACCGCTGGTAGGAGGGACACACGGCAGGTGTCTAATACAGAGCACGGATTGCTCCCCGGTGTCACTTCCCCTCCCCTGTGCCACCTCTCCTCTCTCCTCTCAGTCTTCCCAGCTCCGCCCCTGCACTGATATTCGGTTTATTCAGGAAATTTGGCTTTGTTGGGGAGCAGCCACACCGCCTTAGGACGCTGCTCTGCACGGGGAGTGGTTCTCCTTGGCCTAGACATCGGGGTGGGAGGTGTGGGGAGCAGACAGTTTTACCGTTCACTGCCATTTCCCCAGGGCCCATCGCCAGCGGTGCTCGATAAATATGTACTGCATGCACGAGTAGGGGTGTGGGGCCTATCCTGTACCCTCTCCCCGACACACAGCTGATTAGAGCCACGTGACATGCGACCCACAGAACACCCAAGCCAAGCCAGAGTGGCTTTCCTCTGAGAGTGACTGAAGTGAGCCAAGGGGAAACTCTGGGTGTCCTGTTAATGAATTCTGGGGCTGCTGGGCCACCGCGTGAGGCTCTGTGCAAGATGGAGGCTGGCGCAGGAAGGTGCAGGATGTGCACAAGGGTGGAGCCCATTCCAGGGGATGAGGGGAGGCCTAGACTCTGGGCCCTCCTCCAGAAGCCAGGGCAAGTTCCAGGCGGCCCTCTGGCTCTACCCGCCTTGGTGCTGGGTGGCTCCTTGCCCAGCCCAGCTCCAATCCACCAAATATAGCAAGTCTCTTCCTTACATCTGGAAACATCGCTGCCTGGAGCAGCACAGCTCCCCTGCTTGCCCACCACAGAACAGGCAGAACCTGAGCTGAGGGTGGGACGACTGCAGAAAGAGGCCTTCGTGCCACTTGTGTGTGGCCTTGGAGTTAGGCTAGGAGGGGATGACCGGCATGGAGAAGGTATAGAGAGAGACCCAGGCCGTCCCTGCTTTACTGGGAGCAAGGTGGGTCTCAGAGCAGAAAGGTGACTTTCCCACAGCCACAGTTAGCGAGATGAGGTGGAGGTTCCTTGCACATGGGTCCCACTGGCACCAGCTTGTGCCCTGCTTACCACCAGCTCTTCCAGGGTCAGCATCTGGTCTGCATCCCGCAGAATCTCCACCTCACCCTTGTGGGTCAGTTTGGAGGTCGGAAGTCCGCGTGGCTCCTTCTGTTGCTGCACAATGATCTCTAGTCCCTGAAGAAGCCGGCATGGCAGGGTTAGGGAGGTCTCTGGCCAGCACTAAAGGCCCAGGATCCCTTTTCTCCCTGGAGGACCCTCTGCTGGGCTCCCTCCCACACTGGCCACTTCCCTCCTCCATCGATGCAGGAGGATCTGGTCTGCTGTTCCTCTCACCTGGAAAGCTGGCCACCCTCAGCCCTGCCTCTCCAGGTTCAACTCATTCACCCTCAGCTCAAAGCCAGCCTCCTCCAGGAAACCTTCCTGAACTCTGCTTTCCCCTGCAAGTCAATTCTGCCTCTAATCACGCTTCCCCCTGTGCTCTGGGGAGGCCAAGGCCAAGAGGAAATTTCCAGTGCAAGTTCTGAGTCCCAGTGGGCTGGTAATGAAGACTCAGAAGGTAGTACGGCCTTGGGCCAGCACTCCACACCTTAAGCCTCAGTTTATCTATTCACTGGTGATTCAATTAAGAGCATTATATCAAATAGCACATGCAGAGGGCCTGGCCTAGACTGAGGCTCACAGTAAATGATCAACGTCACCCTGCCTGAAATGCTTCTCAAAGGCTCCCCTCTCCTTTTCTAACAGTCCTGGAGGACAAAGTCCTACCTCCCCGGCAGCTCAGCTTCAAGGGTGGGGCCTGAGTAGTCACGCAGAGCCCTGCACCTAGTAGGGGCCACGCTTGGTTTAATGCTTTGCTGTCATCACCTTGAAAATGTTCATGGTTGTTGAACAAAGGGCCCCACATTTGCAGGCTGCCTTGGCCCTGACAAATTACCTAGCCGGTCCTGCACCCTGGGCCCACACAGTGCACAGACAGAAGCTCAGCCATGAGTGGACAGATGCACCGAATGGACTCTGGTTAGGAATTCTGCTCAGCACAGCGTCTTCTGGATCAGCACCTCAGCACCCTGCCCTATCCCAGGGCATCGGCCCTTGATCAGGTGTGCCCCAACAAGCATCAGGTGAACATGGCTCAGCCCATACTCTCCTTGTCCGAGTGCTCCTGGGACCCTGGTCTATGGGGGTGCTGTGGGGTGCCTGGGATACCAGGAAGATGTGCAGCTTTTTCTGGGGCTTCTGAGGCTGGGAGGAGGGGAGGGGCACTTGGAGACTTCCCACCCTGGACTCCGGACTCCAGAGCAGTGGTGGCAAACCTAGGGCCAGCGTGCTGCAGTGGGCTGTGTCACTGAAAGCTTTAAAAGGTTCACCGTCTCTGCTCTAGACCATCACTGGGTACCCTGCCCCCATTACCCAGCTGGCTCCACAGAAAGCCAAGTGCGCCACCTCTGCAGAGCCCTCTGTCCCCAGTGTCTCGCATTCCTGCCTCTTTTCCTACTTTTCTACCAGGAAGGTCTCCAACTCTCTCCCCATCAGCCTTCTCTCCTTGGTTGTGTTACTCTGCCTGGTGCTTCCCTGCCTCTCCATCTGTCTTCTACTCTGCTCTCTCCCCAACCCGTGGGCCACCCTCTCCTTCTATCTTGCTCTGCCCCAGCTCTGTACAGCTCACCCTTTTCTCCTCCTGGTCCCGCCAGCGGGCCAGCTCCTGGGGGGCCAGCTGGACTGAGCTCATCCGTACCAGGTCATGGGGGATGATGTCTCCATGAACCACTTTGAGAAACAGGTCCTGCAGGGACAGGGGGCAGAGACCACACACACCACACTGAGTGCTCCCACCCCAGCATCTTGCCAGCATGTGGAACCCTGAAGGGAGAGCCTAGCCCAGGGCCAATGCCCCACTCACCGGGTTCCTGGGGTCACGAAGGTTGAAAAGCAGGCTGCGATACTTGGTTTTGTATCGGCAGCTGGTGCCCTGTGTGAGGTCAAAGAGGGCTGTCTCGATGCCAGCAGCGATGCCCTCCACTGCCTCCTCATTCAGCCCCAGGTCAGGAAGCTCCTGAACGCTGTGGGGACAAGGGCAGGGCTGAGGGAACTCACTGCCTGTGGTTATCCAGGCTCTTAGCCCCAAGGGGAGACGTGTGGGTGGGAACAGGATCTGGGCCAACTCACTTGTTATGAGCGTTTTTCTACAGGGGCCTGTTTAGTCTCACCCACCTCTGTGAGGAAGAAATATGGCTGTTCTCCCTCCAAAGATGGCTGAGACTGAGGAGACCAGAGCCTTGCCCAGGGCCCCATGACCAGTGACAAAGCAAGATTCAAATCCAGATCCCTCTCTGCCCATGCTCTGTCCCCGGCCCCTGGAGCTGGAGAAAGTGCAGAAGGGAGGAAGCAGGCAAAGGTATCAGCCGGGGAGGAGGATGGAGGCAACCTTGAATCTGCCACTGATTTGCTGTGTGGCCTCTGCAAAGTCATGCACTCACTGAGCCTCGGTCCCACCATCAGTAAAGGAGAGCTCTTGGCTTCAATCTCTCAGACGCTCCCAGCACAGACTCTCATTGTGCTGGGAAGCATCTGCTCCAGTGACATCCACAGGACCTGAGCTGACACTGGGAGCTGTAGTAGCTAAAGGGAAAGCAAGATCTTGAAGCCACAGACACTCAGGTTCAAATGTCAGCTCTCCACCAGCTTGGCTGTGTGGGCCAGCAACCTCTGAGCTACTGAGTGGGGTTAGTCACACATACAGAAGCCCTCAGTGCTGGCCTAACCCAGGAGGCAGTGGCTTGCAGGGCAGCCTGTGGGAACAGAGGGGAAACAGGGAGCAAGGCCTTACCGACTCCACAGCGCCTCCCACAGGGAACGGAACACAGTGACCCGTATGTCAAGATTCAGGGCTATTATCTCCTCTCCGGATTGAAGCTGAGCTGTGGGGAGAGAGACTCAGGTGCTCCTGGAGGTGCCAAGGGCATGAAGAGGGGCAGACTTGAGGGGATGAGGCAGACAAGTGGGGGGGGTTCCCCCATAAGTCTGAGAGTCGAGCCCAGCCAGCCAGCAGTCCCCCTCCTTTGGGGAGGGACTTTAGGCTGATGAGGAAGGAGACAAAAAAACTCCAGCAGGGGCCACCTGATCCCTGAATCCTCCCACTCCCAGTATCCCCCCTCCATAGCCTCACCTGAGTTCTTTGCCACCTCTAGAAAAGGCTTCCCTTTCACAGCCTCCTCTGGGCCACCCTAGAGGGAGAGAGGAGGAGCTGAGGCCCAGCCTGTGGCCCAGCGGACACTGCTTCCTGCCTACTCCTGCCTAATCCCTGATGCACTGCAGCTATGGGGGATTATGTGGCAGGGACAGCCACACTCACCCCTGGACACTCAGACACAGAGGAGGGGGCCCTGAGGGGGCAAGGAACAGCTTTACAGAGAAGGGAGGTGCCAGAGAGGCCTCCAGAGTCCCATGCTGTCCCTCCTGCAGGAGACAGACAGGACTCCTAGGGCAGCAGGACATGCTGGTGACTGTGGCCTCTCCAAATGCACCCCTTCTCCGCCCACATTCAGATGAGAGCACACAGTGGGACCAGCCTGGCACATGGAGGCTAACCCCGCCCCTGGCTACTCTGTGAGACCCTGAACAAGCAATAGCTGTCTCTCTGGCTTCGGTGAGATCTCTGCGAATCAGGGGTGGATCAGGATTAAGCAATGTAACCTGTGAATGGAAGCTGGCTATGTACCTGGCCTGTAGCGGGGCCCTGGGCCATGGGCCTTTTCCTGGTTCTGGGCTTCTGGGAAGGTGCCGCTGAGCTGTTCTCCATCAAGTTGTCCAGAGCCTCCAGCTGTGGCGGCTGCTGTCCCCCTGCCTGGCCATGGCTGATGGCCCCCAGCAGCTGGATTGCTGCCTCAGAACCCAGCTGCAGGGAGACAACACTTCAGAACCTGCCCACAGAGCCACTGTTCACGTAAGCTCTGGGAGGACAGAGAATGCATCTGTCTTGGTCTTCACCGTCTTCCCAGTGTCTCCAAAAGGCCCGGCCCTTAAAGGGTTCAACAAATGGCTGCCAACTGCTTCTGCACCAGGAGAAGAGCAAAGAACGGTCACATTCTTGCCCTTTTTCCTCTCCCGGCCCTGGCACATTCACAGTTGACTGGGCCCTGCTCTAGGACTCTCCTCACCCTTCTTCTGACCAGAGATGTACCTTGTTGGGATCCACTCCCTCCTCCTCAAAACTCAGTTGTGCCCCTTTCAGGTCACTGACCTGCTCTTTGCCTCTCCCGAGGCAGCTGCATGCAGCCGTCCCTGCTCTACAAGGCTGCAGATCACTCCTCTCTGGCTCCGGAGAGAAATCCCTCCAAGATCACTTAATCCGCAGAGCCCACTTTGGTCTTTCAATGAGCTATGGAATCTATTCTGCTTCCCTTTTCATTGTGGCTGCTAGGAAGCTCAGTATTCATTTTGAGCCAAGAAGTTGTATATTTCCAGGATTGGTAGAAAGTAAGGGATTGATAGAACAAGATTTGCCACCTTCTCCTTTTCATTGTTTAGGCCTTTATTCCATTTTCAGCATGTTCTTTTAATTTATTTGCAAACTACAGAAGTTATTTTGAAAGCAAGTATGTCTAAAAACTAACCCTTGAATGATGATAGAATGGTCAGGTTGCAAAGTATGGGGGAAACTAAAAGTCTAAGCTTGAGCATCACAGAGGAAGGGAAGTACTGGGGTGCACAAGAGAAGGGCAGGCCAGGGGAAAGTCTGCTTCTACCCACCCCACACCTAGGCAAAGGGAAGAAGAGGGACAATATCAAAAAAATGTAAAAACCTACATAACACACTCGCTTCACCCCACAGGGCATTTTTACTTCCTCCTTGGAGAGAGAAAGCATACAGAGATTAGAATCTAAAGGACCCTGTGACCCCCCCCACCCCCACACACTCCCGGACAGGGAATCGAAAAAGACACTCGTCAGAGGAAGGGAAGTACTGGGGTGCACAAGAGAAGGGCAGGCCAGGGGAAAGTCTGCTTCTACCCACCCCACACCTAGGCAAAGGGAAGAAGAGGGACAATATCAAAAAAATGTAAAAACCTACATAACACACTCGCTTCACCCCACAGGGCATTTTTACTTCCTCCTTGGAGAGAGAAAGCATACAGAGATTAGAATCTAAAGGACCCTGTGACCCCCCCCACCCCCACACACTCCCGGACAGGGAATCGAAAGGAAGACACTCGTTTTGAAAGGATGTACAGCATTCACTGGGCTGGCATTTCTAACAAAAAAGCTGGGCACAATCCAATGTCCATTAAAAGGGGAATGGTTAATAAATGGTGACACATCACACTATAAATTTAATGTGGCTGTTCAAAAGGGTCAGGGGGGTCACAGAAAAATTCACTTTTTACTGGGGCTTCAAAGTAGCCAGCCCCGGAGGAGGCACATCATACAGGATCTTATTAAGGTTCAGAACAACACCAGGAGAATGTATTGTTTCGATCCTACCTCTTTACAAGTGAGGAAACTGAGGCTCAGAGGGGCCCTGAAAAGTCCTATACCTACTAAGCCGCACAGCTAGTGTTAGAACCTAGTTCTAGCTGACTCTAAGGCCCCAACCACACAACCACTGAGCTATGTGAAGATATGAAAGGATTTGTGAAAAGATGTCACAGTGTATTACTGGGAGAAAAAAAACGGTTAAGGAACAATGTTGCAAAAACCCATTTATGTAAATATATATTTATAGATGCATAATGGAAGTTATCTCTGGGGAATGAAATTCCAGGGAGACTTTCATTATCTACATGTATACTTGGATATTTATGTTATTCAAAATGAGCATGTATTTCTTCTATAATCAGAAACATACTTTTTATTAAAAAGCAAATGCAGAACAGTATATGCAGTATGCTACCATTTGCGTTGCAGAGAGAATGAATTTTTAAATTTGTGCTTGCTTGAATACACATAAAAAATCTCTGAAAGTATCCACAGAGCCTAATCACCCACTGCCAGTAGGGAAGGGCCTGCCTGGGTGTTGGGAGAGAGCTTTTCACTTTTTTTTTTTTAAACCATGGAATGAATCAGCCTTTCAAAAAAGTAATTGAGAAAGAGGGAGAATAAAATGAAAACAGGGGACATCTGAGGAAAAAGTAACAGGAAAGATATTAAGACCAGCCCTTCACAATTTAAAGTCTTTTGCTCGGCCCTGTCCTCAGGGGTCCCCAACATAAGGGTTACGAGGCTCGAAACAACAGGCAGCAGAATAAGCAAAGACTTTAGATGTTGGATGAATCCAGCCAGAATACAAAATATGCATGTACAATATATTTAAAGGTATAATAATAGGAGCCAAACGCATGAGAGACAAAAGGTTACTCCCCCACCAGCCACGAAGAGGCAGATTTGGTTGGGAACCAAAAACAACTTCTGGGAATAAAAATAAATAAGCATAATTAAAATGAAAAACTCTATATATAGGTTTAATAACATATTAGACACAGCTGAAACAAATCAGTGAGCTAGAAGATAGATTTAAAGAAATTATCCAGAATTTGGATACCCAGAACAACACAAAGATGGAGTGAAAGAGACTAATTAATCTAAGTAAAGTTCCAGAAGGAGAAAGGAGAGAAAAAGGGACAGAAGAAGTATCTGAAAACACATGTCTAAGAATTTTCCAGAACTGAAAAACAGAGAACAATTCACAGATTCAAAAAGTTCCATGAATCTCAAGCTCAAGCAGGAAAAATAAAAGGAAATCCACACCCAGACACATCCACACCAGTGACAAGGCAGTGCTAAATGCAGCATGAGAAAATTCAACCAAACTTTAAAAATGTTCTATTATTGTCAGTGCTTTACCTATTAGTTCATTTATTACTCACCACAACTCTATGAGGTAGGTAGTGGCATTGTACTATCATTGCCCTAATTTGACAGAAGAGAAATTGGGGCACAGAGAGGTGAACGGGCTTCCCCAAAATCACCCATCTAGCAAACCAGGGGGCTAGGATTTAAATCCAGGCAGTCTGATACTAGAACGCACACCTTTAACTTCCAGGCTATAATGCTACCCACTAAAAGACACTGTGTGTATAAAAGGATGGCAATTAGACTAACAGCTAACTTTCAATGGGTAATAATGAAAAGCAAAACATAATGGAATACTACTTCTAACCTGCTTAAAGAAAATAACTCAATTGTAGACCCAGGCAAAGTATTTTTGAAGAATAAGGATACTGAAGAGAAAACAAAACAAACGCTGTTGTTCTTGGTAAATTCTACTCAATAAATAAAATAATAAAGGATTAATGTGAGGCTGAAGAAAAATGATCTCACCTAAAAAGCTGAGATGGAATGAGGCATGCTGAGCAAAGAAAACAATAAATATATTAAATCTAAACAAACATTATAACAACAGTGTGCAACTTCTGGGACTAAAAAAGTAAGGACCAGTTCTACTTATGAACAACAGTACGTTAATCAGGATGGTACTTGCTTGGAATTAAAGCATTCTAAGATCCATGTCATTTCAGAGGAGGATGATAAAGATTTAAACTTCATTCAAGTTAAAATGTCTAAAAGAATCAACAAAGGGATGTAGATAACTTCTAAACTATCAGAAGAATAAAAAGGAAGAAAAATACTGAATTTTAAAGGAGACAAAAGTGGGAAAAATACAGAAATGCAGGACATAAAAACACAAATTAAGATTGTAGAAATAGGGTTGAGCGCGGTAGTACATGAATCTCAGCAATCTGGAAAACCAAGGCAGGAAGATCACACATTTGAGCCCAGCTTGAACAGTTTAGCAAAACACTCTTTTAAAACAAAACAAAAAGACAAAGGATGTAGCTCAGTGTGTGAAGCTTCAACCTCCAAGATGGTTAAAAAAAAAAAGAAAAGAAAAAGATGGTAGGCACAGATGCAAATAAATCAGCAGCTACAAGAAACTTAAATGAACTAATACTTAAAAAATTACCAATCTTTAAAGAAAGAAAAAACAATTATATAGATCTACTTCTAAAACAATATAATGCAAAAAGAAGTTAAAGGAAAAAGTGGAATAATGGGTTAACAAGAATATATCACCCAAAACAAAGATGTGGAACTATATTAAAATCAGATAAAACAAACTTTAAGGGAAAAATAACTAGAAGCAAAGACCTCAAAGCATAAGGATAAGCAGTTTCATCAGGGAGCTATAACAACTCAAAAACTAATCTTAAACAGAATCTAAAAAGCTGTAAAGCAAAAATCGACAGAACTACAAAAAATTGAAGACAAATTCACCATAGTAAAAGCATATACTGTATCTTTTGGTTTTTCCATTCTTTCTTTCCTTCCTTTCTTTTTCTTGAGATGTAGTCTTGCTACGTTGCCCAGACTGGCCTCGAACTCCTGGCTTCAAGTAATCCCTCCTATTATATAGCTATCGGATAACTATTAATCTATCTGACAAAATAATCAGTAAAGATAAAGAGATTTAATAAAACTAACATTAAAATGTGTACATACATATTACACCACTCCTCTAACAATTAGAGAAAACATTCTTTTCAAGTATATATGTAACATCTATGAAAATTGAGCACAGTGTAGGTCATAAAGCAAATATTAACAAATTTCAAAAATCTTTAATATTTTTTACTACTCAATAGAACTATAACACAATATTCTTTAGGGCAAAGAGGCAAATAAAATTAATTTTATATTTTATTTAACTCACTATATCCACAATGCTATCACTTCAACATGTAATCAATTTAAGAAACTATTAAGACTTTTTTACCTTTTTTGGTCATAAGTCTTTGAGATCCAGTGTGTACCTTACATTTACGTACATCTCACCATAGACTAGCCAAATCTCAACTGCTCAGTGGACTGAAATGGTGAGTGGTACTGTATCAAACAATTTGTAAGAAGACCACCTTCTCTGGCCACAGTTAGAAAGCAATAGCAACAGCAAACAGATAAGCTTAGAAATGAAGACATACCCTCTGAATAACACAAAGATCAAAGAAAAATCTCAATTAAATTACAAAATATCAAGATGAATAATGATAAGGAAGACTATATTAAAATCTGTGGGTGTTCAAAGATAATATTTAAAGGTGCATTTGTAGTCTGAATCAATTTTATTAGAAGGAAAAAATAAAACTGATGAAGCCAGCATCATTTTATTTTTTTCATTCATTCATTTATTTATTTATTTGGTACCAGGGATCAAACTCAGGTCCTTGCACTTGCATGGCAGGTGGCGAAACCACTAAGCCAAATCCCTGGCTCTATAAGCATCATTTTTAAATTTTCATAAAAAAAAAACCAGAATAACTTGAAAGAAAGTCAACACTGAAAACAAACATAAAAAAGGAAAGACCAGTAAAACCAAAAATTTGTTCTCCGAAAAAAAGCAATTCTCTACCAACACTGATTAAGGGAAAGAGGGATGGTACAAATGGGCAATTTCTGGAATGAGTAACTTATGAAGGCACATACATTAAAAAGACCAGAATAGGCCGAAGCAGGAGGATCACAAGTTCAAGGCCAGGTCTTGTCTCAACATAAAGTGTTTTTTAAAAGGGCTGGGGGATGCAGAGCTATTGCTTAGCATGTGCAAGACCCTGGGTTCAATTCTCAGTACAGTAAACACACACACAAAAGAAGACAAGAGGCTACTGTGAAATATTTTATGCCAATATGCCAATAAACTTGAAAATGCAGCTAAATATCTAGGAAGATATAAACTTACTAAAATTGACTCAATAAAAAAATAAACCTATAACAATAATATAAACTGAATCAGTAGAAAGGAAATGTCTTCCTTGAATAACACATTAGTCCAGGCTTTTTTTTTTTTTTTTGGTACCAGGATCAAACTCAGGACCTTGCGCTTGGGAAGCAGGTGGCGGAACCACTGAGCTAAATCCCCGGCCCAGCCCAGATTTTTTAAAAAACCAGTAGTGCTCCCAAATATCCAAGGACCAAACAATTCTAACCTCAGACAAATCATTCCAGAGAACAGAAAACAATCTGCAATTCAATCTGTGAGACTAGCAAAACCTTACAAGGTTAGTTTGAGAACAAATCATTTCAGGCCTGTTAATTCATCAAGTGAAATAGAAAAATTACCAA